CACACAACACATACTCACATACACAACACATACATACACAACACATACACACACACACAAACACAAAAGTTCTCACCTGCAGAATGACGTGGCCTGGCATCAGTTTCCCGTCAATGGTCACGTGATACGTGTCGTTCAGGAACACCGGCTCGTTGTCGTTCTGATCCGTGACCTCTACTTTGACCTGGAGCTGAGCCGTTTTGGCGGGAGATCCGCCATCATAAGCAGTGACCACAAACGAGTACTCGGACTTCTCCTCTCGATCCAAAGAGCGAAGAAGTTTTAGATCTATCTCCGAGCTCCCATCGAGAGTTTGAGACGCTGTCAGGTGGAAAACGTCCTTGAATCTATCCATTGTGTAGTTCTTCACTTTAAACTCGTCTTTGAAATCTTTATCATTTGCCCCACTTATTTTTAGAGCGGATTCCAAAGAGTTCCTCTCTGGGACCTTCAAGACGACTCTGCTATTCTCAAATTCGGGAGGGTTATCGTTTATGTCTTCGACTTTGAAGAAAGCCGTGACCACTTTGGAGTCGATCTGTGAAGGGTTTTGAGAGGAAACCAAAATATTGACTCTCAGAATACAGTCGCTGGTGACCAAACATAACTGCTCGCGGTCAACACGGTTAGCCACCGAGATGACCCCTCCGTTTCTGGTGATGTTGAACAAAGATCCAGGTACAGTAGCCTGGTTCAGAATCCCGTACTGAAGTGACCGCCTCTCGTCAGAGGTCAGGCCGGGGAATAGATCGTCCAGAGCTGAAATATTACCGACGACAGTACCTACAGAGAGTTCTTCTTTGATCGAAAACTCCACGTCGGGAGTTTGAGCAGAAGCGGAAGCGAAAACCGCGCTAAGAATTATGGCGGACACAAGCGTTCTGACAGCCATGTTGAAGTTTATCACGGACTCCGATCAGTGATGTCAGTTTCTTTCGCTGCGTGAGTCGTTCATTGACACGATGTTTCCGCGTGAGCGACGTACGCGTAAAGCTTCATTAGCTAGGTCGTCTGTCTTTTCTGGGCCGTTGGCTGATTATCCGGGGCGGCTCACGATTGTCTTTTAGCCTCGTCTCCCTGATTCATCAATTGCTTTTTCTCTCAGTGATGCGATCAGGCGTGCTGTGTTAGGAGATGAAACACAATAATCCGACAGGCGAAAGTAGGCCACCGTGATAAGGGAATGTCCGTATATATCCAACGTTTAATCAGAATATCTTTGCACTTCTAAGTATGTCTCCAGTTAAAGATGTCGTATTTCTCCTTAAACTGCCTACGCGTTCTGGGTTACCACATGAACTGACAGGGGAGGTATATTTCTCCCAAACTGGTATAGTAAATGCCGAGCGTGTTTATCTTTAACTTATACACAGACGCCCAGGAAAATCCAGTTGTTTTTCGGCTTAGGTAGCCACGTGGTCTTCCTTCCCCCCCAGGTACGAACACACCAGCTGGGGTCACTGATTTCTCCACTCACTGACCACAGACCGTCTGCACAGCTCCGAGTGTTCGTTACGACGACTCCGGCGTGCAGATAGCTGGGATGCCGATCTAGACCCGCGCGCTCCGATCCGTTAATCTTCAAGTGTTAAGTCTCAGCAACCAGGGTCATCTCGTTTGCCCACGACCTAATCCCCTTGTTAAGATCTGTGCGCTTTGGGAGCGACACCTTCCTCAAACCTCCTGCTTTGTTTGCCCGCCGTGAAGAAAAAACAAACGAATTGTTGGAAGGTCTCGCGCTGTTTGCTTTTGTTTGAAGTGGCGCTGAAACACGGGAGCGTCGTAGCTTGCCGGACGGACAACTTCTGCAGATTCTCCACCGAGTTCACCTAAGTCCACGGGTAAATGTACTGCTTCAAAGAGATATTGAGGAATTTAGTCCAGTAAACCAAATTAAAGCTTTGGTTTTTTGTTTTGTTTTTTTTAGTCTGCGTTCTGGTACCGTTGTTTTCTACCGGAAAAAGCTCGTTGAAAAAGTTTGCACACACAAGGTAAAAGCTGCCAAACTCAACCTATCTGAGAGTATCTTCTGGATTATTTGTTTTATCTTATGTCAGTTTTTCCATCAACTTCTGAGGATAACGCTACTCAGTCGTGTTTCTTTTCCGATAAAAACTATTTGTCTTTCAGTTGTTTGAACGAAACAACTCAGAAACCCTGACTGACAAAGTCTCAGATATTAAACCCTGTGTAAACAACAAATCGATCAATTACCAGAACTGGGGGTGAAGATCACACCAGCAACTGATGGTGTGAGAAGAATTTATGACAATTTAGAAGCTCTTAAAGGTATCCTCCGTATCTCTCATTCAACTTTTTGAACGAGGTGAAAAATATCTGAACGACAAAGTGGTACTCAAAAGGCACTGTTATCTTCTTTATGTATGCTCTTAAGTTTTGATCAAGAGGCCAAAGACGGGTGAAAAATATTCCTAAAGCAGCGTCACTTTGTATCCCGCTGAGTGGTGCTTGAAATAGTCGGCGTTCCTTCACGTCTGTGTGGTTATCTGTCCCTTTTTGTATAAAACAAAATGCGCCGTACTCACGATGCCTGTGAATAGTACTCAGTTCTGTTTATTCCTACGAAATATTCAGGCTTCTGAAGTGTGGTACTCGAAATCAACCACTTATTGATCTGTCACTCACTCAGTTTCCTCGCGGCTGCTGTCACAGTGAGTTTGATACTCCAAGATGCGATGCCAAAATTCAGAAATCGGAGAGTGACGGTATGTATGTTGGTCTGTCCTCGTGGACACTATTCTCAGGACTGCCGCTGTGCTCCTATCTTGTCCAGTATCTGTAGTCTCTCTCTCTCTCTCTCTCTCTCTCTCTCTCTCTCTCTCTCTCTCTCTCTCTCGTCTCGGGCTCTATCATTTTTCGGCAATTCCAATGATAGAAAAAATGATGAGTGTGCTGCACCGTAAAAAAGAGCTGTAAAAAGCGTGTTCTGCTAGGTCACCCGAGAGTTCATACTGTCCTTGTATGTTGAACAAAGTCAAGTGAGCGTGTCGAAAGGCCTTTGTTGTATGCGGAGGATACGACTAACTACCCGAATGGAAAACTTTGGGGATAAAAGTGGAGATGTCCATAATTCATAATCCCTTTCGTCAAATCTCCACTGTGCTATTCAACGATGACATAAGAAGATGAAACTTGTCTTAAATAACCCCTCGATGAAAATTTCACTAGTTGAACATAAAAACTGTAAATAATGCTAGGCAGAACATATGACAACATCAGTTTTTGAGGTCTATTTTTTTCTTGTAGTCTTGGATACCTTACAATATGTGTCAAAGTCCCCCCCAACCCTCCCCCCCCCCCCCCCCCCCCCCCCCCCCCCGGGGGGGGGGGGGGGGGGGGGGGGCGGGGGGGAGTAGATAAACCGAGCGTATCGTTTCTGGTATGTCCCTCGTAAAGGAGGATTTACTGCTTAGTGTTTCATGCCGCTTTCAACATAGTAAGTAATTTGATAGACAGCAGCGTCCCATTAGTGTCCGTCTCCGATGCCACAGGGCTTAGATTTAGTTTTAGTGAAAGTCTTTCGGTACATGTACTTGCAACACAAATACGTCAAGTGAGTGCCGAATATCAGAGGTGTTACAAGAGAGAAACATGCAATGCACAAGAATTAAGAGACATTGGGAGGATACTTTTTTATAGGATGGATAGATAGATAGGAACAAAGGAACTAGATATAGAGAGAAAGAAGACGAGAATGAGAGAGGGAGAGGGAGAGAAAAGGGAAGAGAGTTGGAAAGAGAGAGAGAGAGAGGAAGAGAGAAAGGAAGAGAGAGAGCGAGAGAGGGAGAGAGAGAGGAAGAGAGAGAGCG